GTCTTCACGTACTAATAACGCGGGAGCTATACAAGTCTCCCTGAATTACACACTCCGAGTATAACTGTACTACAGCACTCACTATGTCTGGAAAGCACACGAAAAGTCTTCCGCTCGCTGACTTCTTAAGTATCGCACACTCGCAGGCTGCTATGTTTCAACTCGGCGACTGTTACTTTATAACTGACTCGCAGCCACTGTGCAGCTCACTTATATAGCTGCAGTGCTTGCTTGTTGCGTAATGAGTGCCACGTCATCCTGTTACGTCACCGCTGTTGACTCGCCTTGCATAGTTACCAGGTTGCGGGGGCTCGGCTATCTTCGGCTCCGCTCGGCTCTCTTCGGCTCCGCTCGTGACGTCACCGCGCATAGCTGCCAGGATGCGGGGTGATTACTCGCCTATTACGCGAGCGTTACGTTACCGCTACGTGCAGCTGGGGAGGTAGGGGTCAACATGTCACACTATATATGTGAAAAATGCAGCACTCTAATGACACAAGACTACAATAATGAAACATAAAAGTATACTACTAGGCATCCAGCATATAACGGACCGAGATCATTAATTAATATTGAAGTTAAATTATTTCTCCAATGAGTAAAATAGACTTACCCTTTGGTACCTATCTTTCACATAGGATTTTATCAATGCATTGGCCTTACCAGCTATTCCATAAAATTCTACTTTAGACAGAGAAAGGCAGATAGAGAGATAGACAGACAGATACTGTCAGTCTCAAAAGTTTTCTTCAAATCATAGAAAATGCTGATGAGCATTATTGGTATTGATGTTGTCCATCTATTGTTCGAAATTAATTATTAAAAGAATCTGTAATCACATCATGATTAGCAGTTAACTTCCCATCAATGCTTGAAAACTGACCTGCATTACTAATTTTTCTACCTGTGTCTGATTTTATAATGCTCCAGGTGGCTTTCATTTTGTTACTAGAATTAGAAATTAATTGATTATAATGAGGATTTTTAGCTCCTTTAATAACACTCGCCAAAATATTACAGTATGTTTTATAATAATATTTCAGATCTTGCTCATACCGTGCTGAATCTATGGGAAAATTGAAGAATCTCAATCCAGTTTCTTCACTGGAAGACGTGCATGCTTCAGCAGAACAATTTTTTTTTTTCCCATCTATACTGCAAGAAACAATACAAAAATTATAACAGAATCAAAGTACACTCTCACTTTTTTGAGATTGTACGGTCCTTCTTTAGGCTACACTGAAAGACGCTTAAAATACAGAAATACGATTTGTATGAAGTGTCGTAGTAACACTGACTTCATGTTTGTTTCTAATTTCACCGGGCGTAGTACGCATAATCCATATACATAAGTAACACACAGATGTAAATTCATGCGTAAATGTCGACTCTCGTTTCACAACATCAAATCAAAGTCCCTACTTACTAATTAATCTAATTATTTGCACAACATACCTCAACGGCATACACA